GACGCGAAAGCGCGATCCCTGGCCGGGCGGGGCGCAGCGCGTAGAGTCGGGGTTCGGGAGGGTGAAGACCTGGCTGCTGCTCTGCGCGACAAACTTCACTGACGCGTGCGCGTGGGGCAGAAAAGCAAACGTGGGGTCCGGGGTAGGGCCCTGTGAAAGGCCGGTGCAGGGACGCACGCCCGAGTTCTGCTCACGGGAAAAATCGTCCCTGACGGCCAAATCTGAATTCTTTTTCGTGCGGGTGTGCTTGTAGTGAGGATGACGTTCCAAAGGAAGGTACGTTATTAAACATCCAGAGAGGCGTTTCGAATGTGCCTAAACCAACTAGAAACAAAATCTATCCATATATTAGGTTTTACTTGCAAAGCTTTTAAAATAAAAATATTTAAAATACATTTGGGGGATTTGTTTCAGTAAATTTTAATATTTAAAACTCATTAAGTATTTGTGAAATTTGTGATTCAAGAAGGGCTTGGGTGACGCTTGAAGATTTTGTAGTAAGGCATTGAGCAAGGTTTAAATTAAAAAAAATTCTTTAATTTCAGGTTCTGTTGCCAAATGTGAAAATGAAGGGGAGGAGCTCCAGATCCCGTTCATCACAGACAACCCATGTATAATGTGTGTGTGCCGGGTGAGTGTGGGCGGGACGTGGGCATCTGCACCTCCTGGATGAGGTGAAGTCGGTACATGATCACATGAGCAGACCTCCGAAAAGTACTTCTCTCCCTGGGTTTATGCATTGAATTTAGCTGCATTTCCGAGTTTCATGGGTTTAGGCAGTTTCTGTTTCATCAGGCGGAGAATTGTCCTGGACATTATCCTTGCAGAAGAAAACTTAGATAGACTTTTAAGCCCCTGTCTCAGTGAAGACTACAGCTTGCGGCCAGCGGCTGTCACCACCACACTTTCTGTGTTGGTTCTGTCTTCTGAGCTCTGAAGGAAAAGGAGGAGATAACGTTCAGGCGCACAGGTCAGGGTTGAGGTAGTGACAAAATAAGCGGGAGAACAGCCACAGAGGAACAGTGCAAGGGCAGGGGAATCTTGGATTTCTGTCTCCAATTCCCTCGCCCTTACCCTGCTTTCTGCTGCACTCTTCCTTTCTGATTTGGGAACCCGAGTCAGAAAGGAGAGAAGGTGTCATTGCTAGAGAGTGGCACTGGCTGTCAGATGCTTGGTTAACTCATACAGACAGTTTGTTTCTAGGCATTTTAGCTTAATAGTTAGTACGTCTAATAAGTGACCACTTGGGGAAATTAAATTATAGTAATAAACATTTCCGGGATGAAATATAGATTGAGAGAGCAGCATTTTTGCTGAAGGGTGTTTCACACGCCAGTCACTTTTGGCAAACTTTGGTTAAAAACTCCGCATTGCCAAACCCCATTCGAAATGCATCAGACTAGTGAAACACAAAGCTCCCAGTGATGGACGATTATCTGTTGCCAGATTAACTTGTTCCTGTGGAAGTAGAGAGGAAATCCATCTCTGCAGGGGAATGCCAGGCCACCTGGGTTTAGAC